TTGGTTGATTGAAAATAAAAAGAAAAATAATGAAAAATTGAAAATAAAAGAAAAATTATTAAAATAAAACAATAACGGAAAATAAAATGTAATAAAATAGAAGATAGAGGTCAAAAATAAATTTTCAATTATAAAATAGAATTTATTGAATAAATAATATTTTCCCAAGTGCAACAGAAAAATATTGAGTTAATAAAATAAAATAATAAAAATGAGTAAATAAAATTTTTTCCAAATGCAAATTGGAAAATAGCAAAATACTGATAAATAAACAAAAAAATGGTCCAATTAAAAAATGTAAATATTGACAAGTAAGCAAACTTTTTTCACAATTTGAAAAATGAAAACACAAAATGAATAAATTTATTTAATTAAAAACGAAAACTTTTCAAATTGAAACAAAAAATACTAATGAGTAAACAAAATTATTTTCAAATTAAAAAAATAAAAATATTCAGTAAACAAAATTTTTTCTAAATTCAAAAATAAAAGTAAGAAATAAATAAATAGTTTTTGGAAATTAGAGACTAAATTTGTCCGAAGTAAAAACTAGAAAACCAAAATGCTGAGTAAGAAAAATTTTTTTCGAATTAAAAAATAAAAAAACAATGAATGACTAAATGTTTTTTAAAAATTAGGAACTAAAATTTGTCAAATTGAAAAACAAAAATACTGAGTAAACAACATTTTTCCAAATTATGAAATAAAGCTACTGAGTAAACAAAACTTTTCCACATTGAAAAAATTCGAATAAACATTTTTTTTTCAAATTGAGAAATGAAAATACTGATTAAACAAAATTTTTCCAAATGCAAAAATAAAAATTCTGAATAAATAAATATTTGTAGGAAGTTAGAAACTAAAATTGAGAAATAGAATACTGAATAAGTAATTTTTAACTAATTTGAAAACTAAAATTTTCCCCAAAAAGATAAAGATTGACCATTAATAAAAAAAAATTGAAAAAGAAAAATTCCAAAAAAAATATACAAAAAATAATTTTATGATTAAATAAGTAGAGAGAATTTAAAGAGCGTATAAAATTGATGAAAATAGATGATTCAGTTATATTGTATTAGTTTCTGTATTGTATTCTCATCAGCAGTACTGTGTGACTCTATTGGAAGGTGAATCAGTTTATCCTTTTGTGTCCAAAAGCTGCTGAATAGAGCACTAATCAGTATGATAAACAGATTGACTTATTGTAACATTCACAGGCAGGTCATGCCACTAAAACGTATCAGTCGAAGCGTATGAGATTTGTGAGTAAATGTTAAAGCTACTTGATCATGATGAGGTGGCATCTATTCAACAATATTGCTTCTAATTAACATAATATACATTAATATTATATGAAACAGAATGAAAGCGAGAATTTCGAATCATGCTTAAATTATTCATTTTCGTAATACACAGGAGGTAGATGAGCAAAAAAAAAAATTTTTTTGATGTTCGATAAGTGAAAAATTAAAAAAAAAGAAACAGTGGTCCACACTTGCCTTCGCCGATTACGGTTTGCTTGTTACTTTTTTAATACAATTTTTTTTTCGATTGTGATTTTGATATTTTTTTCTTTTTTTTGGAAATTAATTATTTATACGAGTACATGATTAGTACATGCGGAATAATTTTTTGGTAAATAATTAAATATAAAAGAATGTATTGTATAAGCTAAGAGAAGCATGCATCGCATTCTTCATTCTACTTTTTCTTTTTTTTTGGATTGTCGAAAATCGACATTTGGACTATTATTTTTCCTCTTGGCGCAAAGTTGCGAGGTAGAAAATGCAAAAATAAATCCTCAGAACACCGATTCGAATTGTTTACGACGAAGGTTATTGCGATAAGTTTCTTTTCACTATATGTACTTGATTAATTAGTCAATTTCAATTTTAGTAAATTTTTCTCTTCGTTTTTTTCGTTTACACATTTACGGAAAACTAATTTTCGAGAATTTAATATACAAAACATGAGTGAAGAAACTTTTTTTAAAAATATTTCGATTAATGGAATTTTTGAATTTTTGAATTTGATTTTTTTATTTTGTTAATAAATTTTTAATTCGTTAATAAATTTGATTGATTAATTGACTATGGAAATTTTTTATGAAATTAATAATTAATATTGACATTTATTTATGAAATTGCATAATATAAACAATTAAGATTAGCAATTAGGAAATTAATATTTTTAATTAACATTTATAATTCATATTAAATAATTGATAGGCAAAAATTTATGATCCGGGATTTTCACATTTTCCAATATGAATTCGTCAAACATTTGAATTTTTTTTCGTGTGAATGAAAATTATTTTATCGAGAGAAAAAAAAGGAAATAGAAATGCTGCGATAATTCCATGCTGGATATGTGATATCGACGCTATTTTTTTTGTTGAAATTCCTATGGAACAGTGATACTAATAAGGGACGTAAAATTACCAGTGACATAGCCATAAGTTTATCAGAGTTAATTAATATTTTTAGGAGAGGAGAATTTTTAATTTAAATTTATAAACTTTTTTAATGAAAAATTCATTTACTTCAACTTTTCTACTTGTTGGAATAGAAAAAAAGAGAAAAAGAAATTTTTAAAATTTAGAAAAATTATGAAGGGGAAAGAATAATTAAACAATGAAGAAGTGAAAAAAAATAATACAAAAATTAAAAAAATGACGAAATAAAAAAAACAAAATTATGACAAAATAATAACAAAAAAATAATAATAAAATAGTAAAAAAATCAATAAAAAAACAATTAATAAGATGAAAAATCTCGGCAATGAAAAAAATCAACTAATTAACGAACAAAAAAGCATTACTCTTCTGAGTGTAATAGAGAATTTTTTCTAATTATAAGAAAGATTAGAACATAATTTTTATTCAAAATAAAAATAATTTTTTTATGAAAAAGAATATTAATCATATAAAAATAATAAGCAATAATTATGTTAATTGAAAAGAACTAAAAAATACGAATTTTTTTTATTATTCTTGACAAAATGAGGATATGTCACTGATTTTCTAATTAAAAAAATATTTTAAACACTACTTTGTAACAGATTGGTTCAAAAAAATATTTTTTCAAATTTCAATTATTTATAAATTCCATTTGTCCAATTAAAAAAGAAGTAAAAATTCTTGCCCTAAACTTATAAAATAATCAAACATAAAATTTTCATTTACATTGAATTTTAAATTAGATATTTATAGAAAATTTTATTTATTATTAATTATTAAAGTTTGAACACTGTTTTTAAAAGTAATTCATGAAAAAAGAATTGTTTAAAATTTATTTTTAATTAAGATTTTTTTAAGGTAAATTGTAATTAATAAATTATAATTTTTATAAATAAATGTTGAGTTTTTTTAAAAAAAGTTTAATTTTCAGTTAAAAAGTATAAATTTAAGTTAAAAAGTTTAATTTTTTAATTTTAATTTTAAGTAAATTAAAATAGAATTAAAAAATTTATGTTTTTTATTTATTTGCATAATAAGCTTTCGTACCAAAAATATTTTTTTTGCGATTTTTTCCTTATTAGCTTGTTTACATTGTAAATAAATAAAAAATATAATTGAAAATTTTCAATTTTAATAACAAAATTTAAAAATATTTAAATGGTTCTCTAACCCGGTTTACATTGTAAATAAATAAATAAAAAACAATTGAAAATTTTTAATTTTAATAAAAAATACTCAAAAAGATTTATTTTTACATTGCAAATAAATAAATAACGTAATTGAATTTTTTTATTTTGGAATCAAAGAATTGAAAAAAAAAATTGAATTATTAATAAGAGAAGAATAAAAAAAAAGAAATAAATTATTAATTAGAGTAGAAGAATTGAATTGAATTAAAACAAAATTAAATTTTTTCTTTTCTTTCTTTTTCATTGGAAAATTTGATTGAAATTTGAAAAATTTTGTTCTGCTATTTTTTTGAACCACTCGATGTAATAAATGTTTAATTCAAAGATATAATGAGTTTGACAAAACAAAAATGGTAAAATGTGATAGATTAAAAAAATAAGACAATGATTGCGATTAAACAGCGAGAGCATTAATTATGGGGTTGCTGTCTGAGGTGACTTACCCCTGGACAGTGTTTTGCCTAGTACATGGAATCGCACGGTAAATGTTGGTGTTTCTCCATTGTCTTTACTTGGCCCGACTTGCATGCTGTCCTATCGTTTAGCGGCACAACACACAAGACATTGTATACATAAAAGTAATAACTAGCAAAAATTGACAATTAAAAACAAAAAAAAAGTAACCGAAAATTCAAAAATTAATTCAATTTTAATTCTATAGCTTTTTTTTCTGTAAAAATAAATACTCTGACTTCTAATCTACATTATTCTTTTAGTCCAAGTATATTTAATAATAATCGTAATAGAAAAATTATTTCTCAAGGAATTATTTTTTTCAAAGCTAAACTTTCCATAAATTCGAAGAAATCAAAGTTAAATTACTATTCTTTAAAATATTATATTAATTATTTATTAAATATTATTATTTATTTTTATAATTTTTTTTTGAACTTAATTTGATTTTACTTGGTTTAGACAATTTTTTTTTTGCTTCTAAAAATATATTTTTGAAATTAAAAATAACGAAATTTAGATTTTTTTAGGATAAAAATTTGAGATAGAAATAAAAAATAACCGGATAATAGTAATTGTTTTGTATGCACTTTTTCATTTGTCTCATTTGTTTTTTTTCTGTATATATATGCAAATAATGACACAATATGCACGTTTAACGAGAGCAGCACACTTGCGAAATAATTTTTTTTTTGGGTATTCTCTTCTCACAATTTACCTGCAGTTTGTATATAATTTTCCATATTTTTTTTTGTATATATAGAGAGCTGAGGAATTATTCAGAAGGGGAAAAAGAGAGAGAAAAAAATTGCATATACTATGTATATATATATACGGTAATATCAAAGAAAGTTAATTGAGAATCAATTTTTATTTTTTATCGCGTTATTGACACTCACCTGCAAAGCACCAGCGACCAGTTGCTCGGGCAAATATGACAAGGAATATTGCGAGAATTAGAATAACCACTCCTATAACGATTCCAATAATCGATCCAGCGTCGAGGTCTACACCTGAAATTTATAAAAGAATTTTAATCACACTCGACAAAAAGAGGAGAGAGAGAGAAAAAATTGATAATTTCCCAAGTGAACAATTTTTCTTTTCATTTTTCGAGAATTGTTAATTACTATTACTAATAGACGATTATTTATGTAAATTGTAATTACCGGGAAGAAAAATAAATAATTGATAATAATGTAGTAAATAAAAAATCCAAAAAAGAAATTAAATATTTTTATATCTGGAATTATAATAAATAAATAATTGTAATTGTTATATTAATTGCAATTGTTTTTATTTTAATTATTATAATTGATTGTAACTAATAATGTTTGCAATTAATCTAATAATTAATTGTAATTGAAATTTGTAATTTTGTAAAATTTTAATTATTTTTTACAAACTTGAAATTGTTCGAAAAAATGAAAAAGAAAATCAGAAATATTCTGAAACGTACAACGAACAAAGTAGCTTTTTTATTACACACTTTTGCAAAAAACAAAAAATTAAAGCAAACATTTAAAAGCTTGTTAAAAATAACAAGCGCTAAACGAAAATAATAAAATGGAAATTATAGGAAAAGTTTTTCTGTGGAAATTTTTTTTTTTAGCAAAAATTTGCGAAAATTAATAACACTGCACACAGAGATGAAAGTTAATTAAAATACGATTAAAGACACAAAAAAATAGCTAAGCTTACAATGAAATCTTTATACGACTTGGGACAAAGAATGCAATTCAATTAAAAATCATCCCCGCGTTATAAAGGAACGGATTTTGATTATTTTTCACTGCGTTCTCATCTCAATCTCCAAAGGCATTCTACTTGTGAAAATTTATTTTATTTCCCTACATGAAAGTTTCGTTTTAATTCAAAGATTTACTAAAAAAAAAATAAAATTTTACATTTCCAAGAGAATTTTTAGTGTAAAAATTCAAAATTATTTTCCATTTTTGTCATTTTTATACAACTGTTGATATATTTAGAAATTTTTTTTGCTCTTTTTTATTTAGGAAAATACACGGGTTTATAGAAAAAGAAAAAAAATACTAAAAAGTATTAGTGGAAAAAAATTGAAATTGAAACAAAAAAGCAAAACCGAAAACTTAAAATTATAATATTAGAGAGAGAAAAAATATTTCTAATTAAAACAAATATAAAATTAATAATAAAACAAATAGTTAAGAGAGAAATAAAATTTGTTGAATAATTGAGGAGAAAATATATAAATAATTAATTTTATTAAAATAATAGAAAATGTAAAATAAATAGAAAATAAATAATTAAGAGAAAAATACCATTTTTTTGAATAATTGAGGAGACAATAACAAATTTAATTAATTTAATTAAAATAGTAGAGAAAATGAAAATTTTAATAACTAAAGAGAGACAGAAATAAAATTTAAATATAATTTTAAAATTTATTTAATTCGTTTTCCTAAAGAAGATGAAATGTGTAAGTTTTGAGAAAATAAAATGTAGAACCAGACGCGCGAGTATAATTGAATATTTCACACGAAACTTTCATGTTGAGAATGAAATGCTTGAAATAAAATTGAAAAATGACATTACCTAGTGCGTGCATGTGTTCGGAGAGCTTACCATAGAAGTGACTTAAGGGTCCTGCGTGAGCATGCGAAAATTTGCCATTAGACAAAATCTCGAAAATTGCTCAAAAATAACAAATAACATTGATACAATTGTTATAAATTTATAGATAAAAATAATTTTTTGAGAAAAAAGATTTTGAAACGAGTATTATTTAATTTATATAATATTTTTTCAAGTAATTTTTAGTTTAATTTACAAATAATTTTTAATTCGATTTCACTAATTTCCTTTCTATTGTTTTTTTTCTAGTTTAATTTTTCCTAATTTAGTATTTTTTTCAATAATTTTTAATTTGATTGTGACTCATTTTTTTAATTCACTATTTTGTATAATTTTATTTTTTTAGTATATTTTCTGATTTACTATTTTTTTTAATTTAATTCTTTTTCAATTTCCTTTTTTTTCTAAATTCAGTTTTTTTGTAATTTACTAAGTAATTTTATAAATATAATTCTCTTTATTTAATTTCCATTTTTTCTAAATTAGGTACTATTTTTTTAATTTAATTTTTTTTGTAATTGACTATTTTTCCTAATTTTATTTTTTTTCTAATTTATTATTTAAAATTTTTTTTCTTTCTGTGATTAAAAATTTTTTTTCTTGGCTAGTACGTAAATTTATTTCCTTTAAATCGAACGAGTATGGTTAATAATAATATTTTATCCCTTACGATCGAAATAAGTGCCGAAAATTTTGAAAAAGTGCCAAATTGTGAAGAAAGCTAAAATGAAGTATTTTGCATCAAGTGATTTTGTGCCACAATGAAAATGATTTTTACTTTTATTTATTATTTTTTTGTGATAAAAAAGCAATTTTAAAATGTGATTAATTTTTTTTGTTGAGGAAAATTCTTCTTACCTGGTGGTTCGGCGGAAGTGGAGATTTTGATTTCGTAGGTTTCAGTTCCCTCCATATTCTTTGCGTTCAAGAGATATCTCTTCTCAGTGTCGCTTTTTTGTACGCTGTCAATTGTTAAAATTGCGGTCCATCTTCCTTTTCCCTGGTAATAAAAAATAAATTGTCATTAGTTTATAATTTAATTTTATTTGAATTAAAAAAATTTTTTTAAATTTAATATTTGTTAATAAATATTAATTAATAATCAATATAAATATTAGTATTAAAATTAATAAAAAATTTCATTTATTAATCGAGAGTTGAAAATAATTGAAAATTTTCCAAATACTTTAAATCTCGATTAAATTTGCAATTCACAAAAAGTGGACAATAAAAAATGATACTGAGAATGCAAAAAAAAAAAAATTAAATTAAAAATAAATTCACTATTTTATATTCAGTAATGAAATTATATTAGAAGTGATGGGAATACAAGGTTTGTGCGCTTCCCTCCCTCTCTCTTCTTTCCTCTCGCTCTGACGTTTCTGGGCTGACATTTAAAACTATTGTTTGAATCCAGTGGAATTTCATTACAGTCTCACGAGGGATTTTGGAGAGTTTCACACACGACGACAGGGACAGACAGAAAATACGATTTTGTGAATGAATTCGGGGTCTAAAGAACATCCAAAGAGACGCGAAAGTAATATCAAAAAAATTTCTGAGAAACAATTGTTGAAAAAAGAAAAAAAATGTGTGTGAGAGATAGAGAGAAGAATGTTTATGGATAAAAGAGATTTTTAAATAAAAATTTATTGTTGACTTTAAATTTTAAAAAAGAAAAAAAATTGAATTTCGGTTTTTTATTTACCGCTTCAATGGGAGTGTTTGTCTGTAGTCGATTTGTTGAGTCCGCTGCTCCCGCTTGAATTGATTCCGAACCGACGATCCACGTGAAATAAGGTTGAGGATTTGCTTCAATGGTCACGTTCACGACTCCTTGTTGTCCAACGACGTAGCCAAAACGCTCCTTTACAACTTGTGGTTGTGGTGGGACTGAAAATTAATTTTTAATTGTATTAATTTTAATTCTAATAATTTTTTTTTGACAATTTTTTAGAGGGGAAGTTTATTTTTACTTTATTAAATTCTAAAAAGAGGAAAAAAATTTTGTATATTTATTTTTAATTTATTTAGTTACTTTATTTATTTTATTATTATATTATTTATTTTCAGTATATTTATTTCTTTATTTTACTATATTTTTCATTTTCATTTTATTTTTAATTATGATGAAAATAAATATTGACTGGAAAACCGTTTTTTTCTATTCAAATTAAAAAGAAATGTAATTAAAAAATTTTTCTGTTTTTCAAGCACATTTTTAATTGACTATTAAATTTATTTGATACCAACAAGTATTTAATTGATAATACTCTCAAGTATTGAAATATTTTAGTAAAACATTTTTTTTCCAGTGTAAAAATTTTCAATTGATGGAGAAAAAAACTTTTTTTTTTAATAGAAAGAAGAGTGTTTTAAAATTGGAAATTTTTTTGATTGAAATTAAATTGAAAACATAAAAAAGTGCAAATAAAATTTAAAAAAAGAATTGATTGACTAGATAGAAATACAAATCTAAATTCACAAATATAAATTATTATATTAATTATTATATTATTCACAAAATAAATAAATAAAATAAACACAAATTTTTTGTTTTGTAGGGCCATTGATACTAAATAAATAAATAAAATTGAAAACAAGTAATAGTGAAAAATTTGATTAAACGTAGAAAATACTCAAAAATAATAATCTTCATGAAAATAGAAATATTGAAAAAAAAAAACAAGTTAAAAATACTCTTGATAGTAAAAGAAGCGTTAATTTAACTTCATGAAATTTAGACTTGATAATAAATTAATATAAAATAAAAAATAATTAAAACAACAAATTGAAATTAATTTTGACCGTAAAAAATAATATTTAGACTTGATAATAAATTAATATAAAAAAGAGTGAAAATAAAAGAAAGAGAAAAGCACTTCTGGAAATGTAAATTTATTTTGTGGTTTTGTTAGATGTACTTACAGTTAACATCGAGTATCATTTGTGATTCTAGGGGTCGATCGAGAGCAATGTGAGTGGCAATGCATTTCACTTCTTTGCCGTGATCGGTCCATTCTAAGCTTTTGGTCACATTTTGCATACCCTGATCCGATTCAGAATTTCCGTAGAATTGAGAATACCTATCCTCGCTACTCAATTTCTCATCCCCTGCAAGAATAAATTTTCATTAATTAAATTCCCATCAACATTAAACTTACATTAGTTTGTTAAATTGGAAAATGAAAAAGAGAAATAAATTCAATGTAATGCTAAATTTACTGTTTTCTTTTTTTATTTGAGAAGAGATATAATTAATTTTTTTTCTTTTAATTAAAGAAATAAATTTTTCTTGAAAATCAGTAGTGTAAGGGTAAATGTAGTCAGACGAGAGGTGTTTTAGATTCTTTTCTACTTTGTACCTTTTTTTTCATTTAGTATGGTTTAAAAAAAAGAAGATAAAATGGTAAAAAAGATTTTTGTCAGGACAAAGTGTTTTAAATTGTTTCAAAGTGTAAATTGTTTTAAAGTGTTTTTTTTGGTAGTAGAAGAGAGTTTTAGTCAGAAGAGTAAAAATTATTTTCTTATTTTTGTGGTGTTGCTTTTGTTACTTTATTTATTTTTTCGTGGTTAAAAAAACTGCCCTAGAAGAACAAAATATAGTCCAATGGATGCAAATTTTTTTTGTATTAGTAGTACGAACAGAATTTTCGTCAGATAATTTTTTTATTTTGAAAACACGTCACTTTTAGTCAGAATTATTTACAGTACAAAATTCTTTATGTTTTAGTACAAGTAGTAAAAGCCAAATTTTAGGCTAAAAATAATATTTAGTGTGAGTAGTAATAGTCAGTTTCGGTCAGACAGAACATTTTAATTCGAGTACTTTTCATCGTCAGTAGTATAATTCAATTTAAGTCAGACGAAAGTATTATAAGTAGTATTAGTCATTTTTAGTAAGGCAGAAAATTTTAATTCGTTTATAATTTACAAATTAAGTAGTGAAAGGCAATTTATGTCGGACAAAAAATAATATAAGTTTAAGTAGTAAAAGTAAATTTATGGTCAGACAAGTCGTTACAATATTGGTCTTAGTTCTAAGCATAGAAGCTAAATTTGACTCAGACAATAAATTCCACTCGAATCATAAGTAGTAAAAGTAAATTTTAGTCAGACAATTCATTAAAAACTTTTGTTCGAACACTTATTAGGTAAAATCCGTTTTGGTCAGACAAAATCTAACAAATGAGTTTAATATTTAATTACACAATATTAGTAGAATAACTCAATTTTCAGTCAGACGACTACTTTAAAATTAATGTTATTAAAATTTTATTACTAAAAATAATAAAAATAATGAAAATGATTAAGACAATGAAAATAATTTAAAAAATTAAAGTTTTAATAAATATATAATTTTGAAACTTACCGAGATAGATGCTGACATTGGCTGATGGTTTTCCACCAAAGGCATTACAGTAAATCTCCAATTTTTCCCCTCGCTTGTAACTGCGACCACCACTTGCACTTGGACTCAACTGCAATTGAGGTTGTCGGGGTGGTTCTGCAAATTAAAAATTTGTACCCTTTTAGTTTTTTTTAATACTTAAAAATGCTAAAAAGAGATCATAAAATCCAGTTAACTACATTCGAGTCTATTTAAATTTCCCTTAATTAACAAAGTTGTAAAAAAAAAATTCTAATTAAAATTTATAAAAAGAAAGTAAACAGAAATTAAATTTTAAAAAAAATTTCCGGAAAAATTTTCAACGTAATTTTATAAAATGTAAATTTTTATAAAAAGAAATAAGTGAAATTGTATTTTATTTTCTAAATTAAAATATTAAAATTAATATTTAAGTATAAAAAAAGGAACTATTTGTATACTTACTGGCAATGACAATTCGCGTGGTTCCTTCCGCTTCGTAACCACTGTCTTTCGGTAAAAGTGAACATTTAAAGATACCATCGTTGCTATCTTTAATTCGCGTAATTAAAATATCACAGTCTCCTTTGTCAAGTCCAGTGCCGAGATATTTGACATTCTCGTTCGAGTAATTTTCAGTATTCCCAATTACCAACGATCCTTCATTTGGAATTTCAATTCTGCAATGACCAAGAGGCGCTGGTATACGGCATCGAATTCGCAAACTTTCTCCAACTCGAACTGCTGCTTGATTTTTCGGCTCTATCTCTACGGTTCTACCTAGTTGCGCTGCTGAAAAATAAAGAGAAAAGAAAAATTTTATTTTTTTGTTTTTCAATACAATAATTAATCATTATATATTATAATTATATAAGTAATTAGTAAATAGTAATCGCTTAATTATAATAATTATATGGCGATTATATTTTACGATGATGGCGCCTTTGACAAATATTTAGGTATAAATGACTATTGTAATTACATAATAATAAAAAAAAAACAATTATGATTAGACACGGAAAAAATATTTCACCTGGAACAGAAAAAATTGTCTCTAGAATTGCGAAAGTTTTAACTAAAACAACTAAAAATTTTGGTAATGTAGTAAAATTTGTAGTTGTTTCAGATAAAATATTTTTTGCATGGTTAATTATTAATTATTATTAAGTATTTATGAATTTATTATTAACTACTTGAATTCAGTGACTCCAAAAACCCCCAGAGAACGATTTTAAGACAAATGCGTTAGTTTTTAAAACTTTTTGGTCTACATATTTGATCCGCCATTTTGAATTTTTTAAAGCTGATATTAAATTTAAATTCAGTGATCCCAGAAACCTTAAATATGACTCAATTAAATTTTTTTAAAAACATTTTTTGGATCGTTTGTAACAGAAAAACGATTGCTTCACCAAACTTCCAAGAGGTTAATTATTATTAACTAGTTTTTACATACTATCGAATAATAATTAAATATTATTAGTTAGTTCAAAATTATTATTAACATATTAATTATTTTCAATTTGTGTATGTGAAATATTAATTTGAATTATTTTTAAAGTCCTAATTACTATCGACTGATAATTAAATAGAAATAAAGAATTAATTAATTAATTAATTAATTAATTAGTAATTAATATAAGTTAATTGCATGATGAGTTTTGTCAATATTTTCTCTTTTATTGTAATATAATATTCCATTGAAATTTAAAATTGGCGCGCCTTTTGAATTGTGAGGAAACTTTACGCGTAGTAGCAGACGACAAAAGCACGTGTTCGAGAGTTCTTACTCAGAAATAGTCAGAGTTTTAAAATAAAGAATGAATTCGAGCGCATATTATTAAAAGTGAAAAGAAGTACCTAAACAAAGAATTAAGTTTAATATTTGTAATTTTTCTTTTGTGATATAATTTTTTGCAGTAAAATCACTATTTTAATAATAAAAAGTGTCGATATTTTATTGAATTGGAATTATAATGTGATGCAGAAAAAAAAAAGATGGACTTGGGTGATCGAGAGTAAAGATTGAAAATTATTTTTGTGAGTAAATTTATAATAATAATTGTTATTGTTAAATTGTATTTTAAACCGTTTGTTTCAATATATTGATAATAAAAATTTTTTTAAACGCCTTTTTTGAGTAATTGTAAGAATTATATAGAATTGTAATTTAAAAACAAATTTGCCTCTAAACAATTTTTTATTATCAATAATGGTTATTATTAATTATTAATAATTTAAATAATAATTATAATAATAATAAATGTGTAATTATTTACTCGCGATTTTTAATTATTTAAATATTAATTTACCCTAATTTGTTATTATATATGAATTAATATATTATACTAATAAATTATTAATTAATAACTAATTAAAAGTAATTAGGTAATAATTAATAATTATTAATTTTTTTATCAACTAATAATTGTTTATTGATAATTGATTAATAATTATTATTAATTAATTAATTTTTGACTAATTTAGATTAGTTATCAATTATTAATAATAATCATAACTCGTAATTATCAGTTATTGTTACTACTAAAGAAAAAACATAAAAAGAAAAAATAAAAGAAAGAAAAATGAAATAAGTGACATTTTTGTCTCTAAAAAAGCTCCAAATAATTGTTTTTGATGCTGTGAGTCGACGCTAACTTCAGGAACATCAAAACTTACGTTTTTTGGTGAACAAAATAAATAAGCAAAAAAAAGTAGAAAAACTTTTGTTAAAATTTGAAGAATACAAGAAACAACTATTGTTCTTTTGATAATTAATCAACTAATTTGGAATATTGTTGATGGGATTTTAATAACTGGGTTAGTGTACCGATAAAGACCTCTCTCTCATAGCTCACCGCACATATGAAATTCCCTTCGTCAAACCTCGTCCGTAATATCATCGTGATAATTAATTATCGAGCCCTGACAGTCTCAGTAAAATACAACCCAACTTTTAGTCATGACAAAATTTCCCTACTACCATTAGCGCGTTCAGTTTTGATAATTTAGTAATTAATTAAATATATCCGAGTCACAAAAATTTTACCAATACATCTTCGAAAATTCAAAGTTGTGTATTTACTGTGTCTTAACATTCGCTATACATTAATTAAAAAGTAAATTAAGTAAATAATAATTTAATAATTAATTTGTTAAATCTTTATTTGTTATTTATTTATTTATTTATTTATACTTTGTTATAGTTGCTTTGCATCAATTAAAAGTTTTATCAAATAATTAATAATAACTAATAATTATCAATAACTAATTGACAATTAATAATTACTAATTAATTGCTATATATTTATTGTTATAATATTTGCTTCGCATTAATTAAAATTTTTATTAAAGAATTAATAATAATTAGTTATCAATAACTAATTAATAATAATTAATTAAGTAATAAAATAAAATAAATTAATTAATTATATTTAGTAAAAATTAATTATTAATTAAAACTAATTAAGAATTTCTTAATACTAATTAAAAATTAATTAATATCAATTAATAAATAATTAATACTAATTAATAGTTAATTAATAGCTAATTAATGTCAGATATTACCACTGATGATATTTATTAGTTAATGGTATCTAATGGTAGTTATTATTTATAATATTTGTAGTTAATTGTAGTTCCAATTAATTCTATTAATAATTTAATGCAGTTCTAATTAATTCTATTGAGAATTAATTCCAGTTACAATTAATTTTATTGAGAATTAGTTGCAGTTCTAATTAATTCTATAGATAATTATTTGCAGTTACAATTAATTCTATATTGATAATAATTAATTCCAGTTACAATTATTTCTATTGATAATTAATTGTATTTTTAATTAATTCCATTGATAATTAATTGTACTTTCAATTAATTCTATTGATAATTAATAGAAACTTTTAATAATGTTTGTAAAATTATTAATATTGACTACCAGTAATGGTTGTTACAATTAATTATAGTTTTACTGACTGTTAATTTTTCTTCCCTCACTGCCCCCCCCCCCCCAATGGTAGTTTTCTTCAAATCATTTTTTTCCAAAAATTAAATGACATAAAATGTAGAAAAGAATTTGCATCTAATTCGCGTGAAATGAAATCCGGAAATAGAGTGACTTTTCTCATATACATATAAGACGGATAGAATTAAAAATGATGATGTAAAAGGGTTTTGTGTGCGGGGCACATTTTTTATTCCCCGGGTCCCAGGACAAATAACAGCGAGGTAACTATCCAGAACGTACATAAGAATGAAGAGAACAGAGCTGGAAGGATATGGCCAAGTTTTTTTTCCTTTCTTTTTTTGCAAAAAGAAAAAAAAAATGAGAAAAAAATATGGGGAATGAAATATTTGATGAGAGGTTTCGAGGGGCGTGAAGAGGAATAAAAAATAAGAGTTTGAAAGGAATTTTTCCATCTATTTTTTTTTGTTTGAGTTTTGAAATAATTATTTTTTGCTCTTTTTGGGAAAAGTGGTACTTTTTTTTTTTATTAATATTCTAGTTGGATAATTTACAATTATGTTTGGTTTTTTGAGTGAAACGTTTTTGCCCATGTATGAGCAATTGTTCACACAAATCATAACATCTGTTGCTGTGGTTTTACGCTCACATTAGAATGTGACGTTGTTCTGATAATGAATTAATGGGGAGGTTGAAAATTTTTAATTATAATAGTTATCATTTTGATGATTTATGGCTTAGGTATAAAATTATTTATTCCTTTTTCTCGTCATTTTTAAAATTTATTTTTTCTGATGTCGACTTTTTTTTATTTTTTGTTTTCTTTAGAAATTTCTTTCTCTCTACAATTTTTTTTATTTTGCATTTTTCTATTTTTTTTGTTTTAGTTTTTTAATAATAAATTAGTTTTATTTATTTTTTCTTAAAAAACACTTATTAGTTCGCAATTTTTTCCCTCTTTTTTCAGTATTCAATTTATTTTGTTTATTTCGATTATACTTATAATAATTTTTTTTTGTTTTTTATTTTATAATTATTATATTTATTTCAAAGATTAACGGTCAATGCAGCGTTTATTATTTATTGTATTTAATTAATAATAAATTCCGTGAATTAACTTTTATTAATATTTATCGCCAAAAACAAGTCATTAATTTGTTAAACAAGTAAATAAAAGTGATAAATAATTAAAATTTTTATTCGATTAAAAATTGTGACATGTTAATTATTTTCTCTCTTTTTTTTTGTTTTTGATTAAAAAAAAATGTCAAAACAATTTTTTTTCGAATTTCTTAGAAAATAATGTTTTTTTCTATAGTTAATAACAAAGTCAAGTCGCATTACAATTTAATCTAATAAAAAAGTTTTCCCTTCGTTGGAGAGTACACGACCTGCCCAGCCCAATTATTTTCTCATTACAACACTTTGGTGTGTAAACCTTCATTTCTAACTTTGTTGGTATTTGCAAATTTTTTTTCTTTCTCTCTCTCACTTCCGACAGAAACGAATGCAAAAGAGGATATGGAATATTTATAAGGTGGAGTTTCAATTTTTGAAAAAGGTCAACAAAGTTCTTCTCCTTCCTGTGAGTAAATAATAAAAACAAAAAAAAAACAGTTGTACACAAAGGAGAAAAAGAAAAACTGGAAACAATACTAGAAAAAAAATTACAAAATAATTATAATAATTATATAATAATAATAATAATAATAATAATAATAATAATTTTGCTTATAATTATTAATTATTATGAATATTTTATTGTATTAAAGAAAGAAAAGAATTTTAATGGTTTTTTTACGATTCTCATTGAATATAAATATAA